TAACAATTTGTTAGCTCTGAACCATGTGTTAAGTTGAATAAGTTCTAAGTTTGCGGTTATAAAGAGATCACTGATTGAGCTAGAAGAATAAAACAGATTAGCGTCGTCTGCAAAAATTATGCAATCTAACTTAGATGAGACTTTAGGGAGGTCGTTGACATAAATTAAAAATAGAAGAGGAGCTAGAATAGATCCTTGAGGAACCCCACATTTGATATTTAGTTGTTTCAAGTTGTTATAGCGATCTATGGTAACACATTGTTGTCTGTTGTCTGGATAGTTGGCGAACCATTTTATAGTTTGATTTTTAATACCATATTTTTCCATTTTTCTCAGTAGTATTGTGTGGTCTACTGTGTCAAACGCCTTTGTAAGATCAATAAAGACTCCTAATACAAATTTCCTATCATTAAAGGAAGTTGTAATGTTATTAATGAGATCTAGGATAGCATGTTTTGTTAAATGTTGCGTTTGAAACCCGTTTTGATTTTCACTTAAGATTTTGTGTTCTATTAAATATTTATACAGACTGTTGTAAATTATTCTTTCAAGGAGTTTAGAAAATATAGGAAGAATTGAGATTGGTCTATAATTGCTAATTGCAGATGTATCTCCACCTTTAAATATAGGTACAATTTTTGTTATTTTTATTTTGTCTGGGACAATTCCGTTTTTGATTGAAGAGCTGAAGATATTAAAAATAGGCTTTCTTATTACAGAAAAAATATAAAGCACAACATTGTCAGAGATGTCATCAATACCTTATTCTTTTTATTTGATTTGATTGCTGTTTCTAGTTCATCAAAAGTTTTTTAAGAGTTTTGATCACTCTAAAAAACTTTACTTATCGAATTTGTAAAGATTGCAAAGCTAATTCTTGTGATACTAACTACTAATGCTTTTAGTGAAAGATCTTTCTCCATTTTAAAAAGAGTTAAAACCTTTGATTGTAAACAACAGATTCTCGTCTAAACAATTTCCTAGTTCTTCACACTCGCCTGCAAGCAGTGGGCAAAATTGATTTGGTTGAGATCGCAAATGACTTTAATAATAAATGCCAAACGCAAAAAAACATTTTCGGAAATTTCAGTTAGCATTTTTGTAGAGATAAACAATGTTTGACGCAAGTTTTTTTTATTTGTTTCAAAATTTTTGAAAAAAATTTTTGAAAAAAAAATTTTGTCGCAAAGTTTTTTTATTTGTTAAATAGATGTGCAACTTGATGATCATTAAATATACATTATAAAGGAAAATCAAAACTTTTCGTTGCCCTCTACCTCCTTTAAATGATCTATAGACCCACCCAGCCCCCTCCCCCCATGGCCTACTATATTTACGGCCGTATATCTTACATTATTGAGGGGGAAATTAAGATTTTTACTGAAAAAAACGGCTGCGCAGAATATTATATTTTTAAAAGCAACATAATTCTTAATTTTTAACTTAAAGTTCTTCAATGTTAAAGTGGCAGTTGTTTTTGATATATATATATACTCTTTAAGATAAAATAGATATCAAAGGTTTTAAGACATTTGTGTAATATTTGTTGGAGAATTGTTACAGAAATTATTCAAATCAATATACATTTATATCTATGTATATTATTTATATATAATATATACATGTATTTATGTATATTTTAACGCTTTAAAAAATGTCAAGAAGTAGTATTTAAAAAATGTCAAGAAGTAGTTCAAAGAAATCAAACAATAGGTAAATTTTATTAAACTATATAAATATTTTTAATAATAATTTTATTAAACTGTATAAACAAATGCTATGCAACTAGCATATTAGCAATTTTGATTTCATTTTTTTCTTTGGCTCTTTTTAAATGTTTTTAAGTTATTATTGGAAATCGAATCCTGATAGTTTTTGTTTGTTAATAAAAAATACACTAACAAGAAATTTTGTTGAAAACGCAATTCCCCAATTTTCATGATTTTCACAAACAAATTTGCTATTTGGTGCGCATTTATGTAAGAGACATGTTGATGATTTAATGACTGGAATTGATAGAGATGAAATTTCATTCTCAATTATCCAAAATAGCAAATACGCTGCAAACAAATTCTGCAAGTTGTTTGGATGGAACAAACAGTCCATCACGTGACAAGAGAGATAGATAAGAATTACTTTCAAGATCAATGTCTCCACCTTTCAAACATGGTTTGCAATTTTCACATTTAGACATTTTTGACAATTTATTTGCAACATAGCCTAGTTATTACTACATCTTGAATATTATAATCAAGGGAACTTGATTATAATAATTTTTTCTATTCGATTTTCAAACAGTTCATCAAGTATTATCAAGGAAGGATGAATATCTGGTATTAGATTTTCTTCCTAGAAGTTTATATGCTTCTTAATTAAAGAACAACATGAAAAAACTCTTTTTGAATTTAAAACTTTTCTTAAACTTACAAGAAATCTTCCCCCACTCATTTGCCTGTATTGCGAGAAACGTCTCTCAATTGGATCACTTTGTAAACGAGCTGTCATCATGTTATCATATCCATCATTCAGGAGCTCCTCAACAAGCAGTGCTTGAGCACGTAGAGATTTACAAATACTAATCCAGTTTGAGTTGTGAGGGTGAATGCAGGTGAAAGAGACCACTGATTGATCTAATCAGCCAGAGCATGGTAAAAAATCATTTTATTGTCTCTTAATACAATAGCGTTGCCAATAATATTTGGTGAAAACCTTTGTTTTCAATTGTAAATAGTCCACCAAGTGTTAAAAATAGTTAAAAAACTTAAAACATCTTTTAGATTTGGATAGTGGCTTTTTGAAGCTGCAGTTGTAGTTTCATGTATAATTGCTAATGCAAGTGGCATACTTTGTTTATTATTTCCAGGATGTAATGCCTTATATGTAAGCCTTGGAGCTTTTCTAAGTTTACCTTTCAGAACTTTATCATTATGGTAAATCTTAAATAAATCATTCATTAATAAATATATCCTCATAGACAGTCAATATCGATATATACATTATGGTATTTAAAGTCTGAAAAATTTTTTTTTACCATTTAATAAATTATTTCTAAGATTTTTGACTCAATGCGCACAAACATCATAAAACAAATATGTTTTCTTTCCATGATTCTGTGGGTGAATAATAAAATACTTTGATTTAGACTTGAACATTGTAACTTGTAATGTGAATGCATTAATGTTAGTGGAATGATTATCTGTAGCTATACCACGCTCAGTGAACCCAGCACCTAATAGATTTTTAAGGTTGTCAGCTATTTTTTGTGATTTTTATGTATTTTTTGTGATTTTCAGAGAATGTGATTTCTGGAATTACTTGAACCATAAAAGGAATAGATTTAGTCCTTATATCATGAATGCGACTATTCCTTTGTACAAGTTACCTTCTTCGTCAGCACCAACATACTCTCTTCCTTGATATTGAGCTGCTTTTTGTAAATATATTTCATCTATAATCATAATACAATCAGGAGAATTTTTTCTTTTTTGGCGTAGAAGTTTTAAAGCTTTTATAGAATCGATACCTCCTTGTTGAACTTTATTTAATAAAGATATTGATGGTAAAGGGAGCTTTTTAAATACTAGTTCGTATACCTGTAAAGATGTATATTGTAAAAGTAATGCGTATTGAATCATCTCTGCTGAGTATGGTGGCCTGCCTTGTGGCTGATAAAGCTCTCTGTCTTTAATTTATTCTAAACTAGTGTCATGATTTTCTAATGTGTAGTTTCTCATATAAAGAAGGAAAATTTTCTAGCATACTAATTTTATTAAGTTTTGCATTATGTCCTTTAACAAACCAACTTGGTAATAAACGCGGTGTTCCTTTGTATTGCAAACGTACATTTAGGTCTACATCAGCTGTTATCGATTCTAATATATTTGGAAAATATGTTTGTCCATTAAATACTATATTATAAAATACAAGAATTTTTTTTAAATCGTTTAAATTGAAACCCTGGTGGTGCTACTGCTCATTCAAATGTAATGTTCATTTGTAATTGTATCATTTTTCTTAAGTATTTCTAACTGATCTTTTTGAAATATTCTCAAATTAGAAGGACTTAGAGAAGTTTTTAAAACTGGCAAAAATAATTTTTTTTTGAGAAAATTCACAAAAATACTTAGAAGGAACAGGTTTTCAAAGCCAATTCAGTGTGCATTTTTCACCACTAAGTATAAATTTATCTTCAAAATGAAGTTCACATAAAACAGAATGTTTTGTTGAAGTCCAATCTGAACGATTAAAAAATCGTATCCAAAGTTGATTTAAGTTTTGGTCTATTGGAAAATGAAAATATGCAATTTGTTTGTGTTTGTTGCTTAAGTATCTCAATGTACATTTTGCACACTTACTGACCATTTGCTGACCATTTAATATAAATTCTTTAAAAATTAGAAAATTCAGAAAGAAGAATATTTTTAAAAATAATATTTATGTATATATATATATATATATATATATATATATATATATATATATATATATATATATATATATATATATATATATATATATATATATATATATATGTGTGTGTGTGTGTGTGAGTGTATATATATATATATATATATATATATATATATATATATATATATATATATATATATATATATATATATATATATATATATAATTAAATAATAAAAAAATATATGAATATAATAATATGTATATATATATATATATATATATATATATATATATATATATATATATATATATATATATATATATATATACATATTATTATATTCATATATTTTTTTATTATTTAATTATATATATATATATATATATATATATATATATATATATATATATATTATATATATATATATATATATATATATATATATATATTATTTTTGCGACAAAATTTGCTAAATAAGAATATTATGTATAGTTTAGAATTTAAAATAATAAAAATAATCATAAACAAAGCAATCATAGTTGTTATTTATAAATTAGCATAATTATTATTTATAAAAGTTACATACCTAATGCCTCTAATACTATTTCAACAAATTCTTCATTTCTATTATTTTCAATCATATTATCAAGAATAACTACAGGTATACCAAAGTCTATGCACTCTTTTCTAAAAGCCTCAAGGTCTTGTGCTAAACAAGCAATTAATCCAATACAATCTTTTAGCACACAGATATCCTTTATTTCTAGTAGAACACGCACTATATGTTTAAAAATATTGCATTCAAAGATACGTTCCTTTTGTATTAAATGATCATGAGATAATCCTCGTAGAGCATGAAAGCCCCAACCTTGGATATAATGATCGCAGTTAATCGATATTTCGTCAATGATTAATATATAAATTCCTTTTTTAAAATAAGATTCCTGAATTCTTTTAGAGTTTACCGAAAGTTGATATATAACCGCACATGCTGACTGAAACAAGTACTCATCTTTTATGTGAACTTTAAGTGCTGAAGCAACACAGTTGTGAATTGGGAGTTGGCTATCACTTTCTTCACCTATTATATCACACAAACTAGGATTACACTCAATTTCTGATCGAAGCAAATCACAAGCAGCCTTCTGCAAGCAAACATTATCTGAAAACTCTATCATAGAAGTAAACAATGATTGCCATTTGCATTCATTTGCATCTAAATTAAAATAATCAGCATTTACAGTTAATTAAGTTAATTGAGTTAAATAAAACTCAAAAAGCATCCATTCTAATTTAAGGTATAAAAAAATCATCTACACGTTCCTAATAAACACTGTTAACAAATATCAACAGTAAAATTTTTCTTTTTACACACATAAATAATATTTCAATCATTAATTGAAATATTTAAAAACATCAAATAGGAATGGTAAGCAGTTGATTCAGAAACCACAAGTCAGGAATATTTCATATTATCTCCACAATCTATATAATCTTCAGGTATTTTTGGTAACTTTTTGATAACAAAATTTTCAGGTAATATTTAACATCAGAGCTTATATCATTAGACTATTATAAAAATTAAATTCACAAATTTAGTTTATAAATATTTTAAGTGAACTATGAGGTTTATCAGAGATAGCATGGAAATAATATGACTTATCAGAGATAGCATGAAGCTTTTTACTGAGTTATATAGAGAAGGCACTAGACTTATAACAGAAATTGGTTTAATCTGAAAAAATTGCCTAATGATTTTTTTATTCTAATACCCTTACATACATTGATGTTATTTTTTTTTTATTTTTTCTAATGCGCATTTACATTTACTGAAAAGGATTTAATTGGTACAATAGCCGTGTTTTTAATTTTTTAGGTAACTTAATTCTAAGATAATGTAATGCACCCTAAGTAATTATTTTGCCCAGCTAATCAACCTAAAGTGGTAACAAAAGGCTTCTAATGTGGTCTCAACAATGTACTAACAGTTACACCATCAATACGAATTAGCCACTTTAAAAGCTAGTGCAGTGTTCGGAAACCTTACTATTAGCGTCCTTAGAACCATTAAACTAAGTTTTAAAGCCGTGCTACTTTTCTGCACACCACTATAGTCTTTAGAGAATATGGTTTTGGATAATATGGTCTCGTTTGAAAAATATTGTTTTGAAAAATTGCTTATTTCAAATTGTAAGATAAGAGAACAGTTTGTAAGAACACAATAAAAGCTAAAATTTGGTTTTATTATTGCGTTACCAGTTTTCGTTATTAATTTTTTTCCCAATAACTGAAAGTGTTAAACTGAGGAGATACTTATAGAAATTTCCTACTTTCACCCAAGTTTTACAGTTTAACGGTCATGTTACAAAGTACGGCAGAGGAGAGTTTAACCAGAGAAAAAGTCTTTATCTTTACTAATGTGATATATATGGACAAAGCAGACATCAAACGTCGAACTCATAGTTATGACCTGGAACTCTAACCAGGTCACTTCGGCTGTTTATAGGTAGCGGTCAATTATCCTCTAGTTAACATAGCACAAATAATATATATATATATATATATATATATATATATATATATATATATATATATATATATATATATATATATATATATATATATATATATATATATATATATATATATATATATATATATATATATATACAAAAATTTAAATTATATACTTTTTTAAAACCTGATATCTGTTTTCTTATAGAAATGCAATAGTTTGTCTAAGTCTTAGTTTTTTCTCATTATAGATTTGCTGCTTTACAGATGTATTAATGGTATATACTGAAAATTATTCTTAGTTTTCTACCATGACAGGTTTGCTATAAATTCGGCTTTAAAAAATAAAAACTTAGTTTAGTGTTTACATTGGTGCCATTGATTCTTTTCAATTTCAAAGAAAAAATATTTTAATAACGGCTACTTTCATACCATAAGTCTTCCAAAAGTTATCAGTTAACTTTATATTGCATTTTAAAAAGTTTGCATTGCAAAAGTATGCATTACATAAAATGATCGAGTCTTGAACATTGCTTTTTCAAACAGTTTACGTAAGTTGGAAAGAAGAGAAAAATGTTGATAATTGAAATGGTCTTAAAGAGAACCCATTTTGTGTATCGGATTTACTTTGGCTTATGAGAGATTATAAGCATTAAAAAAACTTTAGGATTAAAAATATTTATGGTAACGTTTGGAAAGCAAAGAAATTTACGTACAGTTATCTAACTTTGTTATCGATTATTTGGTTTATGTTATCTGAATATTTGGTTTATGTTATCACATGAATTTGTAGTAAAAGAAAAGTTGATCCTGCTTTTTTTTATTGCGACAATTTTCTACATGCCATTTCTATGCACACGCCAAATTTCAACGAAAAACAATTGGTAGCAGACAGTTTAAAATGTGTTATATTACGTATACGACTTTTTTTAGGTAGCCTTAGGCAAACGTTTTATGCTATGTTTGTAGAAACATGTATAAACATAAATTATTTTTATAAAGAAGAAAAGTTATTCTAAATTTTTATATGAATTTTATCTATGGTTACTAAACTTTTATGGATTGTTTTGCTGACATTATTTCATAAAAATTTCTTCCCTGTTCTCACAATATTTTGTTGTCGAAAGAATGTTGATACCGTTTTTTTTTGGGTTGGGTTGACTCTTCAAAAAAAAAATTCCAATATTGTATTATTTTGTTTTTTTTAATTAAATTTAAATTAAACAAAGAAAAAATTAATCAAAGGCTCGACTCTCTTACAGATAGTAAGTTTAATATTTTTTTATAACTATATTAATAATAAATATTTTAAATCAAAAAATATTGATAAAAGTAAAACCTTTTTTTTATATGTTACGTAATAAAAAAAGAATAATGTCAGAGATTCAAGCTCTTGCTTTTGAATGGATTGATGACTAATAGTATCTAATGAAAATGCTTTCAAATATAATAAAAAATAATATTATCATTATCTTTTATAATTTTTGGATTGTATACTTCTTTATCTGTGGATTATTGTTTAAATCAAAATACAAGCCTAATATTTACTTATTGTTTAGATTCTATCAAGCACTATGATTATTATTAAGATTTCAAAAGTATAAATAAGTATAAAAGTTTATATATAGCTACAACCAATATAGCATAATTTATATATAAACAAAGTATATAACCATTCCTAGTGTTAGCTTATTGTTTATGAATATATTTTCTTTGTATTTTCACTGTTATATTTTCTTTGCTTAATTTCACAACACAACAGCAAGTATGTTTATTGAGTCGTTACATGACTGTTACCTGCACCAAATTGTTATCCGTCCTGGGTTTTAAGTAAAGTTCGATATAGATACTAACATTTTAGACCTCATTTTAACTGATAATAGCAGCAGAGTTTACATTCTGGAGCATTTTCCACCCTTAGGTAGCGTCGATCATGGTCATCATGTTTTGAAATTTAGATTTGGATATGAAAATAGATCTAATTTATTAAATTATTAATTTTCCAAACCTGTTGGAAAGAGGTTTGGAAAGATTTAATTAGATTTAATTACGCAATTGTATGAAGAGGACATTTCAGTTGATTTTTTGGTTTTGAGTTTCAAAAAAGCATTTGATTCAGTCTCTCACAGGAGATTACTAGAAAAATTATTTAGACTGGAATTTCTTTTTTAATTTGGTGTAAACTAATTTTGTCCGATCGAACTCAGAGGGTGGTTATATTAGAATATACTTCAATTTGAAATATGGTTACTAGTAGATTACCACAAGTTTCAGTACTCAGACTTCTTTTATTTGTTATCTTTATTAATGACTTATGTAGAGAGATTATTAAAGTCACTAAATTATATGCAGACGATACCAAAACTATTTCAATCAATAATTGTTATGATGATAATAAATTATTACAAGAGGATATTACAAGAGGACATTACAAGAGGACATTACAAGAGGACATTAACATGTTTGTAAAATAATCTAAAGATTGTTTAGTTAAATTTAAGGAATCAAAATGTAAAGTCATGTATATTGCTAAAAAGAAATATAAATATAAATTGAAAAACTCTGCTTTAACAGAAACAAAAAAAAGAAAAAGATCTTGGGATTTTCATCTCAAATAATCTAGAATGAAAATACCATATTAATTCACCAATAGGCAAAGCAAACAGAAAATTAGACAAGATCAAAAACTCTTTTGAGTATTTAGATGAATTTTAATTAAAGTTACTATACAAATCGTTAGTGTGTCCTCATTTAGAATATGGAGCAGCAGTATGGAGTCCGTTTTGGAAGAAGGACATTGACAATCTTGAACTCGTACAACACAGGACTACTAGAATCAAATCTTTAAAGGGGAAATTATATGAAGAAAGATTAAAGATACTTGACTTGCCAACTTTGCATGATAGAAGATAAGGAGGTGATCTCATTCAAATGTATAAGATCTCAAAAGGAAAAGATATTGCTAAACTTCACCATCCTCCATTAAATTTTGAGCTGGAACAATCAAGTAGAAGTAACAATTGTAGAATATGCAGACAATTTACCAACTTGAGAATTCGTTACCATTTCTTCACAAACAGAGTTACAAACGATCGGAATTCTCTTCCTCAATGGATAATAGAAAAAGATAACTTAAACCTTTTTAAAAACAACATTGATAAAATTTTGGCTTTTGGCATTGATAAAATTTTGGCTTTTCTAATTGAGGTAATAATAAATTATTCAATACGATGACGTATTAAATTCTGTATTTAACCAAAACAGCAAAAGTCGCCAACTGTATCAATTACTTTTTTATTTTATCGAATTGTTTGTTGCACAAACGGAATGAATCCGTAATTTTAATGGACGAATATTGAAGAACTTTGATCCCTTAGAATTTTTACCCATTAGCATAAAGGAAAATTCGCTTGTGCAATAGCGACAGATTAAGTTCAGATGTATATAACTAAGTTTATAAAAAATATATAAAACAAAAAAAGTTAAGAGTGGGCAGAATTACAACCTGGCGGTCAATTTAGCACATTGTGCTTTGAGCGTTCTTCCTAAAAATCAGTCTATTTATGAATTATTGCTCCACCAAATAAATTAAATTTTTTTTAAATCCTAATAGCTTATAAACAATAAAAGTTGTAACGTAAAAACGTAAAAATTAAACTGCATTTTTAATTTAAAAAAAAATTAAATCCTTCGGATGGATTTGAACGTAGATCTCCGGACTCACTGTCCATTACTTTATCCCCTTGGCCACGCAAACTACTACGTTAGAGAGTTAAATTATTATCTATAAGCCCAATTTTGCTGGCAAACAATCTCAGGATTATTTCCCGGCATTGTGAAGATAAGTTTTCTTTAATATTTCCGTTTGAACAATTATTTCTAATACTCGTTTAGAATAATCGTTAACGATTGCATCACAAGCAATTTCCTATAGAACTATATAAAAAAAAATGACTACGAAACTATTCCCTTGGAAATTAATTACTCTTTAATGACTACGAAACTATTTCCTTGGAAATTAATTCTACACTGAAAATTTTTGCCTAAATGGAATAAAAATTCAATTGAGAATAATGATGTGAGAAATACACACAGCAGGGAGGGAGGATCCATCATCGTTGTAGGGGTTTGTCTGACCAAAAAAATATAAAAAATTAAAGTTTACATTTTTTTTGAACTAAGCAACTGTTTTATTTGATCTTTTAGAATGATTTTAGGATTATAAGATCCCGACAAGAAAGGTGTATTTGGCCCACATGTGGTCATAGTACTTTTGTGTGGATTTAAAGTGCAAAAATAATCTACAGTTGATGAATGACGTATTTGATGAAGATAAGTGTGGCCCACTCGTGGAACACATAATGCGGTTCACATAACTATTTCACTTAATGTGGCATAATCTTTAAATAAATACGTGCTAAATTTGATGTGGCTATCATATGGGCCATACATATAAAACTCACGATCTTGCTTCATTTTGAATTTTAAATTTTAACCAATAGTAATAATTCTATCGCAATGCATTGTAAATTCTAGAATATTCCATGATATCATGAGGCTTACCGTTTTGATAATTTTCAATTCATTACTGTTGTAAGTATGTTTGAGCGATAAAAATAAATATATGTAAAAAAAAAAGTATAAATGTATAAAACAAAAAACAAAAAACTTGGTGTGTTAGGACTTTTACTTATTGTAATATACAATTTGTTATCATTACTAAACTATGTTGTTTTTTTAATGTGATTTATTGTGTGATTTAGATTATATAACGGCATATTGTTAAAAGAATATTATTTAAAATTATATTAATTATATACAGGGCCGTACCGACGAGGGGGGGTGGGGATGACCCCCCTCCTCCTTCTTTCCAGATTTAAATGCATTTCGTGAACCTCTTCTTAATTTCTGATCTTTTGCATCTATATCTGTTAAAAACAAATTTTATATAATTTCAAATCTTCGACGCTTAACGTATCAGCATAGTTGAGTGATTAGCGCACTGGGTTTCAGAACAAGATAGCCGTGGTTCGTATCCTACTCTTGGTCACTATTTTTTCAAATTTTTTTAGATTTTTTTAAATACAATTTCAAATACTTATAAAGTTTTATAGATATTGTATATAGACAACATATGTAAAGATATTAATCAAAAATTTGATCCGCGCCTAGCACTTTGACACAGAACTGACTTCGCTAACGAAAGAAAAAAAATAGTTCACAAATTTCAAAGTTTTGTTTTTTCATTAAGTCCTTAAACACTTAGTTTCCAACTTTCTTGACATATTCCAAGTCTCGAGGCTTAGTTAAATGCTTAAAAAAAGATAAAATTTAAGGCTTAAAAAAAGAATTTTTTACAAATTTTTTCTAGCATCTCTTTAATGCTTGACTTTTAGATTTAGATTTATTACATTGATAGTAACATTATCATATTATTTTTGTTAGATTATGACATTGTTTGATTTTTTTTTTTTTTGGATTTTATAAATTTGAGAATTCAATATCATGTCAGGTAGGAAGCATTTGTTTTTTATTTTCTTTTCAGGTAGCATTTGTTTTTTTATTTTCTTATTAGTTAATTTTTTTTTGAAATTGTTTATTGACCTCTTTTTAAATTTTTAGAAGCTTTAGATGATGACTTAATGTTTAGTAAGTCGCTTTTATTTTATTTTTATTTGTTCAGTAATTCGATTTTAGTCGTCTTTATTTGTTCATTAAGTCGCCAATTTCGTTTTTATTTATTTGTTAAGTTGTTTTGTATATTTGCTTTCCATATACGTTACTCTTTGCTTTTAGTTAAATCACAATTTTTTTAAGTTATCTGTATTTATTTTTTATTTTTAATACTGAACATTTTTTTATTTAGTGTGGCAACCACAACCTGGTAACAATTTTTCTATGCTTTTTAATAGCCCCTCAAACCTACAAAAAATCTATTTCGTAGTTGTTGTTCCATTGATACCAATTTTTTTTTTCTTTTTTTTAATTATTTATTTTTAATCTGTTTTTTTTTTTTTTTTAAAGAAGATACACAACAACAACCACATTCTGGTAAGAAAGAAACTTTTTGTTTCAATTTATTTATATCTTTTTTTTAAAAGTTCCTAATATTTTGTCTTTTTCTTTTTCTTTACTAATGTATTTTTTAAAATCTGTCTTTATATTTTTACTAGAAACGCAACAACAACCACATCAGGTAAGATTTTTTTAAGTCGCTTCTTAAAAAAGTTTTAAAAAGGATTTCCTTTTAAAAAAAAAAAAATTATGTGAGTTTTTTTTTAATACTAAACATTTTTTAATTTGTAGTGCAACAACAGCTTGGTAAGACTTTAATTTCATACGTTTTTAAGTAATCTGTCAATGGCAGCAGCTGCCACAACTCTTGGTAAATAAACAGCTTTTTTTATATTGTTATTAGAATAATTATTAGTTATTGTTAATTTTTTATTTAGTTAATTACTTTTGTTTAATACTTTATCAACAACAACAACAACAACAACAACAACAACAACAACAGCAAGTGAATCATCTGCTATAAGTGCAGCTGCTGCTGGTAAGTTAATTTTTAGTTTTACATTTCATTAGTATGAATACTGTGTTATTATTATGTAACTGTGTAAAATGTGATGTTTACTTATTTTTCTTAATTCTTAATTTCCTTTTTATCTTTTTATTTATTCATTTTTGTCATTCACTTTTTATTTCAATATTGTATAAGATTTTTCTTTTGTTACTTTTATCATTTTAGATTTGTCATATGAGGCTTTTATTGCTTACAGAATTTACAGTATTCAGGACCCATATCCTACGTGCCCATTGGATATGGGTCTCTAATAATGGGGCAGATCTCCCTCCTTTTCGTTGGGGAGAAGAAGAATGATATGGGAGGGGGGTGGGAGAGGTGGGAGGGGTGGTGTTACTTGCAACTATAATTATAATTAGATAAAATTTTATGCACTGTTGTTTTTCTTTACCTTTCCTAAGATAAATATTGAAAATGTTGTAAATATTTATAAGCAATAAAGGTGTTTTTATTATTTATTTTTTTTAACATATGAGGTGACTTACAATAAAAGTTAGGAATAAGCCACAAAATAAAACAAAAATTAGCTTGATACCATCATTATTGAAAATTCTACATTTAAAAATAAAATTACAGTAAAAAGATTTATAAAGTTTAACATAATTTAAAATTGTAAAAATAACATAGTAATAAAGTTAATGTATATTTTTGATTATTTATTTCAAAAACTATTACTAAATGTTCAAACTGCTCGAAAAATGAAAAAATCGTAAATTTGATATAGTTTAATGAATGGATAAAATCCTCTTTTTACTTTTTTTTCAAAAAAAGTAAAAAGTCTTTTTTAAAAGGAATCCTGTAAGAATTTTAATCTAAATCTAATATATAAAATAGGGTGGGAATATAAGTTGAACATAAAATTTCAACTAATACTTTTTACAAAGCATCATAACGCAATTTAGTTAAAACGTGGCTTAAAGTCAAATGAACATTTTTGAAAATTTGTTTTAATTTAAATAAGATTTGAAATGCTAATATAAGTTTTATACTTAAGTGTGAAATAAAGCTCATTTACGACGAATCCAAATTTACTAGGTCGACGAGTTTTAAAACAGATTCTAAGCTAAAAGTTTCTGTTTTATCACTTATTGAAATAACAATGATTAATAACAGTTATGATTAAAATGTTTTATAAACCTTTTACATATATATATATATATATATATATATATATATATATATATATATATATATATATATATATAACCTTTTACATATATATATATATATATATATATATATATATATATATATATATATATATATATATATATATATATATATATGTAAAAGGTTATATATATATATATATATATATATATATATATATATATATATATATATATATATATATATGTAAAAGGTTATATATATATATATATATATATATATATATATATATATATATATATATATATATATATATATATATATATATATGTAAAAGGTTATATATATATATATATATATATATATATATATATATATATATATATATATATATATATATATATATATATATATATATATATATATATATATATATATATATATATATATATATATATATATATATATATATATATATATATATATATATATATATATATATATATATATATATGTATATATATATATATATATATATATATATATATATATATATATATATATATATATATATATATATATATATATATATGTAAAAGGTTATATATACATATATATATATATATATATATATATATATATATATATATATATATATATATATATATAAAATTATGTCAATAAAATTAAATTTTATTAAACGTTATAGGTGTATATCCGCAGTATCAAAGAATTCAAGTACATAAAATCAAGTAAAAAAAACAAAATACCTTCTTGAAAACCATGACCACATCTACCTGTGTGATCATAACCACTCCTGGAAACCAAATATTGCCAGATTTAAACACCCCTCAATATTTAACTACTACATTTATACATACAGTTGGATGTATAAATAGAGGTACCTATATTTATACATACAACTGTTTCATCTTTTCATCAATGATCATTTAGGCGGTCATGATAACTTCTAAAAACTAAATATGCCCAGATTTAAATTCTCTGACTGCATTTGCCTATATTTAGACATACAACATGCCCCATCTAATTTTCAAACCATTGAGACATCCCATGATCACCTTAGACAACTCTTAAAGTGACCACTTGTGTGGTCATGACCACTCTAAACTTAAAATAGAGCCCAAAAAATTAAATCATTTGCCCCAAAAACCCCAAAAAACATGTATCAAATGCGTATATTTAAATCAAAAATAGTTTAGCTATTTCTGGCCCACTGCGCATCGTATCGGCTATACTACTACATTTTCCAATTATAATAATGAGTATATAAAGACTAGATATTAGGGCAATTATACTCATGATAATCATTATCATGAGTATGCCCTAATATCATATTAGAGCAAATATACTCATGACAATAGGCAAATATACGTCTTGTTAATTTTTCAATTTTTGAATAATTATCATGACGTATACTTCTAAGCTGTAGAACAAAAAGCTTTTTTTTTTTAAAAGAAAATTTCTAAATTTTTTTTTAATTTAATAGTATTTTTTATGTTACTAATAAGCATGGAATAGACGTTAACTTTAAATTCAATCTTTTTATTGTATAATTTAATAAAATCAAGTAATTTCTTTCAAATGAGCTTTTACAACACTATTTTGCATGTAATTTATGTCAAATAAAATGGTTTCAAATGACGGGGTATTTGAAGTACTTTTTTTAGTTAAAATTTCACTTATATAGTGGAATACTTTTGCGGTCCAAAGCGGTCCAGTAATTTGAAATAGATTGTTATATATATATATATATATATATATATATATATATATATATATATATATATATATATATATATATATATATATATATATATATATATATATATATATATATATATATATATATATATATATATATATATATGTTATCAATATAAATTTGTTTTATAATTCGCGGATGTCCGTCTGGTCTCTACTAATGATTTTTGCAAGTTAACCAGTGAAAAAAAGATAACTAGTTGACGCCAGACGTTTTTAAAACGTCTAAAACACGTATTAATACGTATTTTAAAGGTCTTTAACGCGTCTTTTACCCATAAGTAGCGACTAGCTAGTTGCTAGCTCATTTCCCACCTAAACTATGTATCATTTCGTTTCGATACTGGCTCTAGCCTAATAAGCGACATTGGTAAGGTATACGACATTGGTAACACTTACGACATTGGTAAGGTAGGAACTTGCGACATTGGTAAGGTAGGAGGAGTGAACGTCCTAGTCAAATGCTTTTCTGCTGTGCTCTTTGATAAGACCGTAAGAATTTCTGGGAGCATTGAACTAAAATATCTTTTAAATATAATTGTCTTTCAAAAGTTGCAGATTATTTTCATCAAGTTCCTTAACAGTTTTATTGTATGGTTTTCTAATGCTTGTGAGGTTTGGATTGGAAGTGAGCAGTAGAGTATGAAATACATCCTCATTTCTGATCGAGAATATTATCATAGCATGATAAGTCGGAGATTTTTTATAATCTTTATTTTGAATTCTTGCCCATTTTCTAAAAGCAAATAAATCGGATGTTTTTTGAAATTCTTTAAGATATTTTCTCAGTTAAAGTTTCGCTTTTAGAAAATAATCTATATTACCATGCATAAATGATTATAGTAATTTGGACAGTTTCTATTGCATATATACCATAAATTTAAGCATTTATTATTACACCTGAGTGGAGAGCCTCCATAACTATGTAAGGTTTAATCAATTTTTCAATTACTCCAGTGATTTCTGCAGAACATCTTGAATAGTAAAAATATCTTCTAGCAGTATTACCATCATTTGTTTTACAGCTCACTTTTTTTTAAATACACCCATTAAGCTCCCTTTTTTTTAAATATGAATCATTAACGTTTGTTAATGATTGATTCTAGCTTCTTGCTAAAACACTTCTATACCAAGGAATTCTTATCTAATATTACCCGTTTCTTTTTTTTTTTTGCTTGAGGCTGAACATATTTGAAAAGACAGGTTGTAGGAATTGTGTAAAATAATTTTCATTCAACGAATCCAAAAATATTTTGTGGACACTTATTATAGCAGCCACTTTAGCCAATTTGATAATTCGTAGTTGAGTGGCTTCAGATATTTTACATGCAGGCGCAGAAAGCGTATCGGTTAATCTCATTGCTAAATTCTAAGCAAGTCGAAAAAAACAAACAGAAAAGAAGCCGGATTTTCCCAAACAACTTAGCCAATAACTACATCAGTTTGTCTGATAAACACCGAAGTACTATTAAACAACTTTACATTAGAAATAATCTCCACAAGTTTTTGCTTCATTTCTCCGCAAGTTTTTGCTTGTATTGGCTTAGGAAAGCGAAACCATTACAACTGTGTTTTCCACCCACAAATAAATGTTCTAATATGTTTTAGCTAGGTCTTATAAACCTTGCAGTTTCAGAACTTTTGCGTGTGTGGTTTTAATTTTTGTTGAATAAGATAGTGGATATCAGGTCTGTTTAACTTCTTGCAATTTATAGTTTGGTGGGAATTTAGAACATGTTTGTTCATTTGTAATCATGCTCAAGTACAAATACTATACTTTTGTTAAATTTAGTTCAATAAGCACGCTTTGTGTTTCTTCATAAGATAACTAAACGTTCTAGTTTTTGTTTTTCATTAAACTCAAGAATAAGACCATTTTGTTTTTATAATCAATCACTAATAGATTCCTTTTGTTTCACTAATAGATTCCTTTTGTTTCACTAATAGATTCCTTTTGTCTCACTAATAGATTCCTTTTGTTTCACTAATAGATTCCTTTTGTTTCACTAATAGGTTCCTTTTGTTTCACTAATAGATTCCTTTTGTTTCACTAATAAATTCCTTTTGTTTCACTAATAGATTCCTTTTGTTTCACTAATAAATTCCTTTTGTTTCACTAATAGATTCCTTTTGTTTCTGTTTCTTCTCAGTCTGAAAGTAACTCCTAAAAAATGCATTAAATATGTGCTCGAATTCATATTTCTTAAATAACATTAAATGACAGGCTTCATATCAAATTTATAACTTTTGTGGTTCCATTAACATCCAAATTTACAAATTTTTTCATAATCTTGTTTATGCTGTTGAAAAAATTAGCTCTGATAACATGATCGTATTTAGTAGCAATATAAGTTCGCTATGTTTATAGATAGTTAGATACATAATGTTACATAGCATATAGTATACACGTCTAAATCTATATTTGAAACAGTAATTCCGGAAAAGTATGTAAAGTTTACATTCTGTCAGTTCCTATGCGCGTTGCTATGAACATATTTTTTCTTACTTAGAATTTTTATTAGATTACTAAAATAAAAAAATAAAAATAAAAAACGAGAAGTTGTTAAAAACTTACAACTATTTTTGCAGATAAGAAATCTGATTTAAATTTTGATTTGTATTTATTAAAAAAACAAAAATCAAACATTTGAAAAGTTTAGACCCGGTGGGAAATGAGCTAGCGACTAGCGAGCGGCTAGTTAGCTTTATGGTGATATTCAAGCGATTTTTTTTTCTTATTTTGCTTTTTACTAATGTCTTAAACGTCTCGGTTTTTAGTGTTAAGTCTATTATAATTATGAGAATAATTAAATTTTAAACATTGCGATTTTGTAGCAAAGTGTTGCTAGCTACATATCGTAGCTTTATAGCTAGCTACAAAATATCTACAAATCTATTGCAGGCTGATAGCTATATATCAAAATTTTTTAGACAGCGATTTTATTACGATATGACGCTAGCTACAATAGCCAGGGGGTCTTTAGCTAGCTGTCCTCGTAGCCAAATTGCTATTTTTATCTTTACAAATATCGATAGCAGTGGGTCTTATTAAGCTAGCTGTCCTCGTAGCCAAATTGCTATTTTTATCTTTACAAATATCGATAGTTTTTTGCAAATTTTAAAAAGCTACCGATCCTCGTGGCCAAATCGATGTCTTTATCGTTATAGCTAACTATTCGCTAGCTGATTTCCCACCGGGAAGGGGAGTTCAAAATTCCATGAGCCTCTGTACAAAAGCAATATGAAAAAAAAAATTAATTAAGACAATAACATGATCATAAATAATTTATTTTTACCACCACCAATAAGGTGCTTGTGTAAAAGAAAGAGGGCAGGGCCAAAAATAGCTCAAACAAGACGTTATTTTACAATCAAAATTATTTTATCAAAAAAACACTTGTTAATCAAGAAAATAGTTTTACCAAACTAATAATTTTTTGAGGAAGACTATGTAAGACTTAGAATTAAGCCAATAATTTTATCTTGGGAAGTCTGGGTAACAGTTTTTAGGAAAATTAGGTAAGATTCAGCCCAGAAGGTATCAAGCAAACATTATGAAAATAAAAAAATTCGTACCGTTATAATTGGACATGATATTTGGCAAAACAACTACTGTGAGTTTTTTTTGAAGAAGTTTGTGTTGAAGACTATTTCCAAGATAAATATTAGTTATCCCAACATTTGCTAACTTGCTCAAAAGGTTTAACAAGACAACATTTCGACGGTTCTCGTGAAGACATCCTTTAGATTAATTGAAAATTGAGCAATAAAAGTGTAAAAAAAACAATTTTATACGAGTAAGCATTCTTCTTTTTCTTCTTCTGTTTTTTTCTTTCAACTATTTCAGAAATAGCTATTAAAAACCAATATGTACCTAAAATTATTTTTTTTTAGCTAATTATTCAAAAACAACAGCAACAGCAACAACAATAACAACAAAATAACAATAACAACAATAACAACATCAATAACAACGACAACAACAACAACAACAGCAAGAGCAACAACAACAGCAACAATAATAACATCAACAACAAGTAAAGCAGAAAATAAAAAAGCACTAGATAGATATAAACTACAATTTTAAAATATTTAACTTCGTTTTATCAATATTGAAAAACGAATGAAATTTCATATTTCTTCTTAAATTTGTGAAGAGTTCACGTTTTACAAACTTTTTTTGATGTATTCAAAAAAATCAAAACATATTGTAGAATAAATGATGAAGGAAATTTTTTTTTTTCCATAAAACTATTTAACAAATATACTTTAAAGCAAAGATATAACTTTGGTTTCGCAATATTTACTGATGAGCACAAACAACAAATATAAATGTAAATATATTCATTGTTAAAAAAAATTATTAAAATTCTTAAAAACTTGTAAGTATTTTATTTGTATATATAAGATTATTTACTAACTAATTATACAGTTTTGATTTCGTAAGTCGTCAAAAGTTAATTGATTTTTAAATCATGGATCGATATTTTTTTTTAAAGATAACGTAAGTATTTCATAAAAACATTTTTGTTCAAAAGTTTGAAAATCACTTGACATATGAGATTATCGTAATCATATTATTAAATTTATGTTGTTTTATAAACTATTGTATTATTCTGGTCAATAGTGTATGCAAGTTTTTAAAAAAACGTTATTTCGCTTTATTCAGAAAATGAGTAGCTAATGTCTTTTGATTTATTCATACATTTTCAGAATAACTCAGAAAATACTAAAAATCGATACTTGGAAGCTTTATCATCGTGAATAAACTTTCTCCAAACAGTCATAAATTTAATACATTAAAGATAAAAAATGTTTAAATCTTGAGTAGTAAATAATCAATTGAATAGTAAACAACCAAACAGTTTATTACAATTGCGATATTTTTACATACATCGGAGTTGAATATTGCCCATAGTTTATAGTAGATATAAACTATGGACAACATGCAACTCGATTTGATTCTGATTCTGATTCCCTCGATTTTTAAGGAATCGAAAGATTTGCGATTCTTTTCTTTTTCAACATATTTTAAAGATAGCGATTCTTTTAAAAATTTTAATTTTGCCCTTAAACGACTTCACTTCTTCTACAAATGCTCCCTACATATTTTAATAATGTTAAAATCTCACTGTAATTATTCAAGGTTAAGGAACTGTGAACGAAAACAAATACAAATATAAAAATAAATAACTACCTGTCGCGAAACTTATTTATACTTGAATTTACAAAAATTCTTGAAACAACTGTAATGTATATATAAATACATTGGTTATTTTTGTCTTATATTTATTGATTACGACGCTGAAATGAAAGAAACGCAAGGTATTGGACCAGGGCCGACGACACTGGGAGGGTTAGTGGGGCATTGATCTCTCCACTTTTTTTATAAAGTACCTTTTTATATAATTTTTAGATATAAAGAACTTTTTAAGAAATTGACAAATGTGCACCTCTAATTCGAAACCCGGACTATTTTATAACAAAAATAAATAACGCTAGGTAATATTAGACTTTTCCAAAACATTAATATCCAGAGGCAGTGACAGAATTTCTCAGCATTTAAGAATATATATCTGATATGGAAAATCTTAGAGCAAACATTTTTGTATTAAATTTATAGTGGACTTATGTAAGCATTTTGAGCAATTCATTAGAGTTTTGTTGATTGGTTACTTAGTAGACAATTTGGTTCCTTATAATTGCTTGAACGTTGCGGACTACTTAAAAAACTCAATTTAGTAGTAAGAGACAATGCAAGCAGTATTTTTACTGTTATATAAGTTGAGAGTTTTCAAACATAATTTGTCTTCCCCATACACTTCAGTTGGTTGTCAAAGATTGTTACGTTGACAATAAACGCTTTTCTTCACTAATCGAAAAGCCACCTATAGCAAAAATGTGGGGAAATGGCTTATCTCTTGTCTATAGATATAACTAGTTTAGAAACTCCTTAAACTCGATTATGTAATCTATTGACACAAAAATAGAGCGTATATCAAGGTGGCCGTATACGCAAAGTCGTTACTATTATTTTGTTCATAATATTTAGATTTTTGGTCTGAATAGCTTTGTTAATAAATTCTAAAAACTAAAGTAATAGTAACTTATATGGATTCTCATTGTTTAAACATTTACTAGGCTTGTAGATAATATGTAAGTCGTTGCCTGACGAATGCAAACACTAATATTATTTAAAAGATGAACTTTAAGGAACGTGATCGGTTATATTAGAATAAAAAAATTTAAAACTTCATGGCAAGCGGTATTTTCCGGCAATACCGGCAAATAACTCTGAGATTAATTGCTAGCAGCGCGAGTAAAGAAACAATTTAGTGTAATAAGAATATCCCGTCAGTGATGTATAGTGTTGATAAAATATTTTAAATTGTGTATAGTTATATTAAATTATTTTATTAACCTTTATAAACTTTTTTTAGCTTTTTTTAGAAAAACGAACACTTTATCTTAAATAATTGACCGCCCGCCCAAACCAAAACCCTCAGTTGATATATGTACACTCTATCCCATTATATTTAAATTTATAACAGCGGGGCTGGATAAGACCATGTCTTTTGCCAGCTCTAGTCGAAACTTTTTCAAAAATTTATGTTGTAAAACATTGTAAAGCTTATTTCAAAGAACGAATAAATAAAAAACGTTTAACCCTATCAAAGTCGGTGTATCAACACTTTACTTTGCCCATCCCTATTTAAGTCATTCTATGTATTTAGACTTTGCTATTTAATGCTGATCCTCATCGAAACGCCAGTAATAATAGACGGGACTTTGAGGAGATGTTCATTACTTAATCACTACACAAATTATGTTTACACATTAGCATTAATGTTTTTTTTTTCCATTCTGAGGCGTTCTGTTGTTGTAATCATACTTTTTATTTTGTGATCAACTTTTTGTTTTATAAGTTTTGTTTGGTAATATATTTGTTGTATATCTTCGTTCATATTAGTGTTTATAAAACAATTTATTTTTATTATTATTATTTTTGAATACTGTTTTAGGTGCATTGTTTGTCTTATTTATTTTTAAATATTCCTCTATTAATCTTTATTTTTTTCTAGACGACTGTCAAAACATGCTTTGTTCAAAAAATTATTCTCCTTTGTTCTAATGTAGGGGAGAGTGTGTATGAAAGAGCCAGTTTTAAAAAGGAATAAAAAAAAGTCAATTAAGATTATTTTTTTTTTTTTTTTTTTAAATAGTTACTTTATTGGGTAATATTATAGAATTAAAATAAATTGGATAAAAATGCTAAAAACCTGTCATAAACCTATTTTAAAAAAAGATAGAAAACAGCTCTTTCATAACATTGTGTCAATGAAAGAGCCACCACTGTGCCATGAATAAGCCGTAACTTTTTTTTGAACACTATCAAGTCTTTTTTAAATATTGAACTGTTAAATAGACTTCTAAAAATCAGATTGTACTTAAAGTTTTATAGCTCTATGATAATCAATGATAAAACAAATAATAAAACAGCTTTAATAATAGTTTTCCAAATTATTCAAAATCAAAAACTACAAAACCAAAAACTACAAAAACATCAGAAACACAGATGCTATTTTATCACCCTTCCATCTTTCAGGACAAATATTATTCACCTCTGCATACTGAAAAGTTAGTTCCCTTGTTTGTTTTTTTGTCAAACCGTGACACATTTTAGATGCAGTTTTAAGATACGAAACTAATAAATCCTCTTGATGTTTAGAAAAAATGCGCCTGTTACCTATATTTGGGCAATGCACATACTGATCCTCAGTATTGCCAACCTTTTTAATCACTTTTGCTAAATAGGCTCTCGATATTCCAAACACCAACGCTGTTTTATTGATGGACTGTTGTCCTTCAAGAAGTTGCGGGCCTTTGTCGCTTATTAGTTGATGACATGTTTTTCTCTTAATGATAAAAAATATGAAATGAGAATGAGAATAAGGAAATAAAATAATAAATATGCATAATAATATAATAAATACATAATAGTAAAATAAAATGATTCAATACAAAAAAAGTTTAAAAAAATTATTTATACTTTAAAAAAAAAATATGACTTTTTCAGAACTTTGACTTAAAATTTTTATTAAATATTATTTTAAATTCAAACGGAGCTATGTTTTACAACTTCAGGAAAAGTCATTAAAACAACTTATTTAGATAGAATAAGCTCATTGAAGCGTTACAAAAAATATATGAAGTCGTTAAAGCGCGAAACAATTAATTAGTTTAAAAAAAAACTAAATAGAAAAAACCGGCTCATTCATAGCATAAAAAGTCGGCTCTTTTAACAAATTGTATGTTCATAAAAATAAACTCAAATTAAACATTTTTTACCAAAACTTTAATCTAAAATTTTTTGTGTAAATGAAGGGCAAATATATATATAACAACGAGGCATATATCTTTTATCAAATAATAAAATACACTTTATCTTAAAACAAATAAGTAAACCCCCAAAAAATTACTTTTTGTGTTCAACATATTTAGTGCAGCCTAATGGCGCTATTTATTTTAGTAGAACTATAAATTTTTTGTGGGTGACTTGTATCCAGTGTTGACACACAATGAGTAAAAAACAATTATGGTTGGGTGCCAGGAAGTTAGAAATAACGGCATCGGCTCTTTCAAAACCTGGCTCTTTCATACACACTCTCCCCTACTTCATTTCTTCACTCAGGCGTTTACTGCTCGTGTGCACCATTCGGCGAATTTTATATGCCAAAGTTTTAAAACAAGATGATAAACAGTGGCGGATTATCCATTAGGCTGAGTAGGCTGAAGCCTAGGGGCCCGTCAGCCATAGGGGCCCGGTTCGGAAGATGATTGCAAATTTTTTTTACAGCAAATATCGATATAGGTATGTATCATGGATAAATGAATGTATCAGAACCAAATGTTATTTTAAAACTAAAAAATCAATTTTGTAGCCCAGTTATGCTGCCCAAATGTTTGTTGATCACTTTGTCTTAGTCAAAATTTTGCTTTATCAGAACCAAATGTTATTTTTAAACTAAAAAATCAATTTTGTAGTCCAGTTATGCTGAGAATGGTATTCTTGAACAAATTGACACTACTGATGTCATTAGGTGTTTTGCAACACTGAAATAGGAAGCTTACAGTAGATTCTTTAAGATAAGATTTACCCATGAAAATACGACACATACTGTACAGTAAATTCTGTGAAATAGGACCATAGGGGGTAGGGTGTGGGTGGATGGAACAGAAAAGCATTGCGCGCATCTACGTGACTCATAAGTATTTTGTATGTATATTCAGAAACAATATTAATAAAACTTATAATATTGCTTGATTAAATATAAATATATAATAATGCAGTATCTACATTGTATGTTTTTTGATTTCAGGTCATAATGGCATATCATCACAAGTCTGGGTATCAAAAAGCTAAAGACCGTGAAGATAAAAAGAAACGTGAGGAAGCGGTCATTTCAAAAACTGTTAAAATAACTGAGCTTTTTCCTACGATTAGTGTCAATGTCAATAGAGAAGACCCACCATCGAATTCACCTTTACCATGTGTAGGTCAGGCTGTATGCACTCAATCTATCTCTCACTCTGAATCTGATGATATGGTAGACGCGGAGACACTTTCTCAGAAACCAGAAACACAAGCTGGTTCCGAAGGTGATGACAATTCCTTTTCCACTGACATTGGGCAATGGTCTGAAGTGGAAATCAATGATACATTCTGTAACTTTTGGGTAACTCGTGGCAGTGAATGTTGTCAACATTCAAATGCTGACTTCACTAGTTCAATGCAAATTGATGGAAAACAGAAGCGCTACTGCTCACAGAATCTCTTTTATCGTGTTCATTCTCGCAATGGTGAGAAAGTCCCAAGGTCATGGTTGTGTTATTCACCAGCAACATCTCGCATTTACTGCTTTGTATGTAAATTATTTTCTGCTGATGATAATTCATTCTCAAGGAATGGTTTTTGTGATTGGAAAAATGCAGCTTTACGAATACAGTCACATGAAAACAGCATTGCACATAGAAATGCAACAACCACATTCAGCCAAAGAGTACAAGTCAGAGGATGTGTAGATTCAACAATAGTTGAGCAATACAGACAGGAATGTGCATATGCAAAATCTGTGCTAGAAAGAGTTGTCTCAGTTATCAAATTCCTTGCTGAAAGAGGGCTCGCATTTAGAGGACATACTGAAATATTGGGGTCAAGTTCTAATGGCAATTTTTTGGGAATTTTGGAGTTGATTGCTCAGTTTGATCCATTCCTCTCCAGTCATATTGACAACCATGGTGGTAAGGGGAAAGGCTCTGTTTCATACCTGTCATCAACAATTTGTGATGAGTTAATTGATGTCATGGGAAAGCAAGTTATGAAAACAATATTGTCTGAAATACGTGGAGCAAAATTTTATTCGATTTCTGTTGACTCTACTCCAGACATATGTCATGTTGATAGGCTGTCATGTGTCTTTCAATATGTTTTGAACGATGGCCCTATAGAAAGGTTTGTGCAATTTTTAAGCATGAAAGGACATGGGGCAGAAGATTTGTTTAACAGTTTATACAGCTTTCTGGAAGAAGCAAAGTTGGATATAAAATATTGCCGAGGTCAGTCCTACGTTAATGCTAGCAATATGGCAGGAAAATATTCAGGGTTATAGGCACGCATTCGAGAGAAGAACCCATTGGCTGAATATGTGCCATGTTTTTCACACTCCCTTAATTTAGTCGGTGCATCAGCTGTAAACTGCGTGACATCAGTGAGTGGATTTTTTGATTTTGTACAAAACTTGTATGTCTTTTTAAATGCATCAACCCAACGGTGGGAGCTTCTAACCAAAGGATTGGATAGTAACCAGTTAGTTCTAAAACGCCTTTCTGATACTCGATGGTCAGCACATTCTGCAGCAACTAAAGCATTGAGCAAAGGCTTTAAAAATGTTAAGACAGTGTTAGAGAACATTGCTGAGGACCCCGAGGAGAAGGTTGAAGCTCGCACTACAGCTGCAGGAATTGCAAAGAAGATGGATCAGTTAGAATATGGAATTTTATTAGAACTCTGGACACCCATATTAGATCGCTTTCATAAGACCAGTTTAAAACTGCAAAGTCCATAACTTGATCTAAATGAGGCTGTTCAACTGTTAACTTCACTAAAAGAATATGTAAATTCACTTCGAGCACAGTTTGATTTCTTTGAGAAGAAAGGAAAGGAAATAACAGGGTCAACTTCTTATAAAGAAGAGAATCAGAGGAAACGAAAACGAAGTGTTCAATTAACCAGACATGATGGATCAGCTGATGAAACAGTGTTTTCGGCACAGCAGAAATTTCGAGTCATGGTTTTCTTGCCAGTACTTGATCACTTGAATTCAGCATTATGTAAACGATCAGAGGCATACAGTGGTGTATGTAATAAGTTTGGTTTTCTGAGAAACATTCGATCACTGGAACAGTCTGATTTGCGAAGAGCCAGTAGAAACTTGATAGATACTTATGTAGATGATTTGGAAGAGTCATTTGAAGATGAAATACTTCACTTCAAAGAATATTTGTTAGCTGATACGTACTTGCAACAGAATGAGAAAGAACTGAAATGTAGCATAGAGCTGTATATGTATCGGGCTTTGAGAAACAGCAGTGCACTACAAGATATGTTTCCAAATGTTGCCACAGCACTTCACATATACCTCAGTTTGATGATCACCAACTGCAGTGATGAAAGATCATTCTCTGCATTGAAACGGATAAAAAACTGCGAAGTGCTTTGGGTGATGACAAACTGAATTCCCTTACTGTTATGTGTACTGAATCTGACATCCTAAGAAGCTGTGACTTCAATGAAATTTTATCAGACTTTGTTGAACGAAAATGCAGAAAAATGAATTTTTGATCGTGTTGTTTTTTTCTTCGGGTCAGCCATTTATAAAATATATACTAGTATCTAATATACCTGATAATTTGTTTGTAATTTTGAAATAAAATTAGATTTTATTATAGATATTATTATTATAAATAAAATTAAAATTGTACTTTTTGACGTATTTTTTAGAAAAATATAGGTATATAGGGCCCATGAATTAGTTAAGCATATAGGCCCATAATTTGATAATCCGCCACTGATGATAAAGCTTATATATAAATAAATATTTTATTTACAAATTTCCAGTAAAACTGCAAAATTTAAAATATATATCAAATAGTGTTTTTCTGGAAATACGTAAAAAAGCAACTTAAAGCGTTTTGAAAAACGGCTGTAGAATATAATTAAGTACATAAAAATTAGTACTGTTTGAATTAAAACATAACATTTAACAAAAAATTAATCTGTAGTTGGATAATAATCCTGAATTCCGTACACGCAATTATTAGTCTTACCATAGTCATAGAAAGAATAGTCTGGAAACGCAGGCCGTTTTTAATTTTTTTGATTGTTCAAGTTAAAAATTGGGTGGTCCGCGAATATAAGGTGCAAAACAAGCTTGAATGATGGCTGAAAGATTTGAATCATTTTGAGTTACATCAAGACAAGCTCGATACTATTTTTACAGTTATTGACCAGGGTTTGTTAAATGTTGTTGCTGAAAAATAACATGCTTGAGATACCACAAATAACACTTTTCTGTATATTTTGTAACATAAAATGTTTGAGATCTAAGGGTTTCCACATTACTCAGATTTGAAGTATGTAACCATATATTTAAGTACGCGATAATCGCGTTTTACGGAACCGAATTTTATGGTAAAATTTTGAGCTACGTAGTCTCTTCAAAGTTTGCGTAGTTATTGATGGCTGTGTGGAATAAACTTTTAGTATTTGTTATCAAAATATTTCTAGAAAGTAGAATAGTTAAGCTTCTTCTTGGTTTTAATTATACTCACTTGCTTTATTAACGAATTTTATTGATGATAAAACTTTTGACTTCGAACTACCCATTACTTTTCTTTTTTTTTAAAGTAAATTAAAAACCCTAATTTTTTCATTAGATGACGTATTATGTTATTATTAATAATATGAATTAATAACTTTGCTTTTTCTTATTTACATTTGTAAATAGTTTATTCTTACTTATTTTGTTAATTTTATATTCTTTACTTAACGTATACGTTTATATAAAATATTGGTGAGTAGATCCGTGTGATCTCTCTTTGGATTATATAATATATACTTAGGAAATTTGTAGAAATTTAATACTGTTGTTACCTTTTTTAATGCTTGTTTGAACTTATTTAAGGTTCTGATGACAAGATCCTTTGATCTTCTTTCAGATACCTTATTTTATATTTGTGAAAGTTTATTATTATTATCATTATTTTTTTGGCAATATATAATTGTAATACGACCAACAAATGTAAAATAAAAAAATAAAAAATTAAAAAAAAATGTTTTTAATCTTACTAGGCACAAAAAAGTTAACTGGAAAAATAACTGAAACATATAGAACTTTAATTTCAAAGGTATATCAAGTTTTCAATAATTTGTTTAAAAATAAAATATTAAGTTTAGTTTATAGACTCCTTAGAAGAAAAAAACAAAACAATTTTGTTACATTTAAAGTCTTAATTATATGAAAACTTAGTTATTTGATCTCAACAAATGAAAAAAACATCCTGTTTTGTTTTTATATAAAAACTAACTGTGATATAACTCAAAGGAGTTTAAGAGCGAAGTTATTGAAAAAGCATAATTATTCATTTTGTTTTTCAAGATAGTAATTTGTTGGGCCAGATTAGGACCAACTAATACAAAATATTTATTTAATTTGTCAGCTATTGCAATTTGATCATATGATGTTTCTTCATTAATTTTAACAGCTTTAGGCAATGCGCTCGTTTTTAATTTCTGCATCCCAGTGAGTTATCTTAGAATTTCCCACGTACGTTTCGAACTTATGTTTCGAACTAAGAACTTAGAATTTCCCACGTTTCTAAGATTATTTCTCTCAAGCAAATTAGAAAAGTAATTTTTTTTTCTTTTTTTTTCTGTCTTTCAAACTCTTAAGCGTGGTTTTTATTGAGAACTTTATTTTGTTCAGTTTTTCTCTTTAAATATTTTATGTGTAATTTTTGTTTAATTTTAGTGGATTTTCTTAGTTCTTTTGTGATCCATAGTGACATTAAACTTTTAGTTTTTTTATTTACTGTTTGTTTTGGAAAATTAGCATCGTATATTTCATAAAACGTTTTAAAAAACGTATTATAAACCAATAAATGTACCTTGTAGTTACAGAATACCAAGCAAAGTCTTACACAAAGAAATAGAAGATTCTGTTAAGATGTTTTATGACTCAAGTAATTTATGCAGACTGTGCCTGGAAAAAAAGATTTTGTAAGCATTCAAAAGAACGTCCATAAACAAAAAAGACTTTTTTTGTAATTTAAAGGATCTATGTGTATTATACAAAGTAAACAATCCAAAAATACAAACAAGTTCAAAATTTTCTTCACTTAGATTAAAGTGGTACACATTTCTTATCACCAAAATGCTATATTGCTAGTAAATGCCTTAAATATTGAAATATAATATAAGGATTTACTTTCGGAAACTGTTTGCTCAATAGATATCTAAAAATGTATGCTTGTGCAGTGTGATACTTGTCCTGGTAAACAACCCTTCACCAAATATTTGCATGATATTTTTAAAAACTAAAACTATTGATTGTACAACACTATTGAGTTTAGCTGCAGATGTTCCAACGTTTGTTGAACTTATAGTATCTTGCTTTGAAAAGCTATAAACTCATTCGTTTATTGCTCACTCTTAATCACAATTGAGTTTACCTTTATCAACTAAAACAAAATATGGATTAACCAAACATTATCATTATGGGTGACTTTGCTGAAAACTATGCTTTTGTAGTCCAAGATGAAATACAAAACTATTATTTTAACTGGCGTGAAAGCAGCGACTACTATTTTATTCCAAACATCAATATATTGAAAAAACTATCTGTTCCATTACCTTGCTATCAAACTCATAGTTTTGGAAGAAACTATGAGTTTGAAAATGCTGAAATAGAAAAAGTACAAATAAAATGGCAATAATATAGTGAACTATTACAAACACAGTCAAAATAACTTACATCTTCGATACCTTATATAATTATAATATATATTATAAGCAGGTAAAAATATTGAAAACCTTATGAAAACTGGGTTATTTTGGGAAACCAGATCAATATTAAAATTTCAGTATCTTATCAACTGCTCAATATTTATTAGCTGAAATTTTGCATCCAATATTTTTTTATAATTAGGAATAATGTGTCAAAATATAAAATTAAAAGAAGACACATAGTTCAATGAACTGGGTGATTTGATGTGGACATTTTTATATTATTTGGTAAAAATAAAGTTTATTTAATTATTGTTTAGATAAAGTTGTTCTAGAGAGGACCAGTCAGTTATATCTCTATTTATATGATTTATTATTATAGTATTTAGTCATTAACTATTAGTATTCAATTAGATTTCATTATTATACCTGTTTATATTGCCTAATCATATATTTTCTTGTTAATTGTATTTTTCTATACTTATTACTTATTACCTTTTAATATGTAAATTTTTTTTTTCCGTAGACAATTTATTAGAAACAATCAGTAAGTTAAGTTTAAATTTTAGTTACTAAGTCATTTAAAATATACGGAAACTGTAATTGCTTTGAAATTACAGTTTCCGTATATTTTAAATGACTTAGTAACTAAAGAAAATTTTAGTTTCCAAATTAGCTTTGAATCAATGTTTTAATTTAAAATTGGCATTTAGGTGATTACGGCAAACAGATATGTAAGTGAAAACAAAAAAGGCCATTTTGGATAGTATAAGTGGAGCTTCCCCACCAGTCTCCTGGTTGTCTCCGTTGTTATCCCCCTGTTACACCCCATAGTTATCAGGGGCAGCTGGTCAAAATAAAATTTTGTTTTTAGTAATTTGTTATACAGTAGTTACATTTATTTTGATGTCCTTTTTTTAGTGGAATGGGTGGCGGGGTGGATGGCGGTTTATGGTGGCGGAATACGCCCTCCCATAAGTTGATTTAATGTCTTTAAAAACTTGTATAAGATAATTTTTATATTGTATACTAATTTTCCTTACGTTATAAATGATACAAATATGTACAAAAACAAACAATTCTTGATACTAGGGTGTGTTAAGCCATCATCACATCCAATTCCTACTCCAAATTAAACCTCTCGTATACGTTAATTGTATGCAATAAAATTATAACTACTTTTTGTATAATAAAATTATTAATTTTCACACTTTTTCACATAAAAAAAAACATTTTTTTAAGTAAAAAAGTGTGACATTTATCACGGTTAAGGTGGCCGCTCGTTACCCCCTCTGTCCCCCTGGATACGCCCAGTGGTTACAGTTGCATATAAATATGTAGTCCACATATAAACCTATCTTTTGATACCAAGTTATTTCTATTTCAATAAGAATTGACAAAGTTATGGTAATAAAAATGATAAAATAATTTATTTTGCCATAGTTTCTTCAACAAGTACATATATATGAAAAATTGGTCTAACTTAAAAAACTGTCATAACTTTTTAAGGAATTGTTCAATTTTAATAATTAAAATACTGTATTAATCCTCTTTCCAATAATATATAACAATTTAATCTTTAAATAATTTGAAGTTTTTATCCACGTACCTATATATATTGTCGCATCTTTCTTGTCAATCAGTTTAGAGGGATACAATTTCATCTGGGAACGCTTGTGTACTTCCAGATAGGGATCAATCTATTATTACCTATTTATGTAGGTGTGTTTTTAGCACCTTATATTGTCGCATCATGTTTACAGATATTTAAAAGATAAAAGACTATCAACAATGTATATTTATTTTACTTGCTACTCAATATCAAGAAAGCGATGATTTGCCTGAGCACAAACTTGTTAACACGCGTAACAGATCAGGCTTGTGGAAAATGAAAATTGAGACAATATGTATTTTTATTACAGCTGAAACAAAGTTCAAGAATATGTTTAGTAAGCTTACCAAGACTAGACTTATAATAGATAGTAGACTTATAATAGATAGACTTATAATATATAGACTTATAAGTCTATCAATAAAAGTGACAACAAAGATATTCTATCCTCACTTTTTGAAGATACAAATTTTTTATAAAATTTTTCAAAGATTAGAAGTGAAACTGATACTTTTGTTAATAAGGAGGTTTGTTTAAATGTTCTTGAAGACATTTTGAACTTGTATGTGAAAGCAAGGACATTTTTCTATGTCAAGGATAATCTACAGGCTTACAAAATTAAAGTTGAACAACTTAAGTCCAAGTCACTGCGAACTTCACTAAAAAAAGAGTACTTAATAATAAGTATATCGGAAACAATTACTTGATATTATCTCAATTTAAAAAAAATCTATTTCATAGCTACAAATAGCTAAAAACATTTTTGTGGTGTCAGAATTTATAATACTAGTTCTTTATTAAATTGTTTTCTTTTCATTAGTAAAGATTTTCTACAATCAATCTATTTTATCAAATAACTTTAGTAATTGGGAGTTTTTTACAAAAAACTTTAGTAATTGGGAGTTGAAATCAAAAGACAACTATATAAAATTTACAAACACTTCATTTTGTGGGGATTGGAAACTTTAGATAGTTAATAGTTTTTTGATAACATTTAGGGTCAACATTTTAGGGTTTTTATTACCATATTCCAAGTTTTTTTTGGAACTTTCCCATTAATTTTAAGCCTCTTTAAATATCTGCTGCATATAATTCAAATTAGAAAATGTATGTAAAAAATCTAAAATGTAATTAAATTT